GCCCATTCGCTGGAGGAGGAAGGCAAAGAATGATACCGAGATACTTGGCAGCCATAATCGTACCGAGCGTCGGAATGTCGCGGAAGCAAGGACACGAAATAGTGATGGTGATCGACTTCTTATGAGTTGAATTCCTTTCGATGAAAGCGCGAATCCTGAGATGACGAAGAATACCGCGACCATTGTTCCACCGGTATACATAAGCCGCAGAAATGGCAATTGAAGTAAATGCCAATTTTCGTCTGCGGATGCAAACCCCTCTTGATATGCTGGGTAGGGTCGTTTTATGAGATGGTGAATGACGACGATGAAAGCAGCTACGCCTCGAAGCCCGTCGAGAAAGTCAGTGTCCCTCGTCTTCGTCGCCTGTACTTTCTCGCCATCTACTGGTGGACCACCATTCTGTGTGAGGAAACTGGGAACGAGGAACACTCCTAACTTCCGAAGACGGGGAATCGTGATGTATTCACTGTAGAGTGGGCCTTCCGCGGGGTTCGTGTACAGTTTGTCCCAATACGGAAGCCGTAGTCGTATGACTGACGGCATGCTGAGAGAAAGAGACAGAATAATGTACAAGGAAATATTGACAAATGGATACACAGAGCCGAAAATATACAGAAACAGAATAATTAAGGAAAGAGTCAGCAGAAGTGCAGGAATGTAAGTTGAGCTGATTTTCCAACAAGGACGAGCTGAAAGTTGGACGCTGGTATCTACTAATGAGCCCCTTGAACTGGATCGGGGTCTGACTACTTACCTATTCGGAAGTCTGACAGTGGGTCGATCGCCAGGGGGCGATCTGACGCGCTAGGAAACTTTCTATTCCATGTATCGGATGTGATTCCCTGCCAGCATGCATCTAGATCTCTCTAAGTCGAGCATCATCCGTGGGGGCTAGAGGATTCCAAAGTTCTAGACTCAATCAACCGCTCTGTATAAATTTACCGCAAGATGCAACCCACCCTGTGTAAGCTCAATGACACCTGATTTCTACAGCGCTCTTGAAGGAGAGACATGATGCTCCAACAAGTAGAGATCTTCACATTCTCGGACTTCGAGATAAAAGGCCTAAATCTTCTTGTGTCTACTGGTCTATAAGATGAGAAAGAGACAGTCGAGAGGATCGGTGAGACCGCAAAGTGACTAGAAAGTTTGGTGGCTTGCAAAATCGCTAACTGGATGAAGTAAACAAATAAGCTTTATCCACCTGGGAGGCTTTTCATGGCTGCGCAATTAGAGCTGGGGATTACACTATCTCCCAATCCTTCCAGAACTCATGAAAAGCACAGATTTTCTGAGACATGTCTCTGCAACAAGATTGTAGCATGAATCTATCCCACGCATCTTCAGCGGCTGAGCGCCCCCGAATACGCCACGCAGCTAAGCGAGCCTTGCTATCGGGAAAAACAAAGCGTATCACCAATCACAAACAGCAGTAAGATTGGTGGTTACACAAAAAGAAAATGCAGTGCAGGAACAATGCAATCGACCGGTAAGTAATGTTGATTTACAATGAAAAAAAGGAGGAATCTCCATCAATGCATCTCTGACCGCCTCAAACCAAGCAAGCTGAAATCCAATGCCACAATGCCAGTTAAAATGTCAACATCATTAAGGGAACTTGCAGCAACAAAATTCCATCCAAACTTCACAAATCCTGGAGTCACGTCTTGACTTATGAAAATTTTGATCAGCAACGTACCGACGAGCCTTATCTAGCTGTAAATTTCCCAACATCAAGAACATATGCCCACCTATTTATTAGCACAAGCACAACTTCACAGCCTAGTAAGAGCCAACCTTCTCAGCCTATCGGCGTCTGCTTCGAATAGTCCTTCCAGACTCGAGGCTCAGCCCTGGTATCATCCGATTCCTCAGCAACAATTCTCTCTTCAGTCAAGGAGCCTTCAAGTGAACCCTCTTTGACCGAGTCCCTCGTTTAGGCTCAGGGTTTTCCGTAGCACTCGGAATTCTGGAGTGGTGATCATCATCGTCTTCTCCAGATCAATGCTCACGTGTCGCGTTTTGAACAGCGTGTACACCTGCCCAGTTCATTAGTCGAGTAGCCACATCTGCCGCCATCTTTATGCCCATGGCTTTTGCTTGCTTCAATATCCTCAATCCGCCGCTATCATAGCGTGAAAGTCTTCGTCGAGGTTTTCCGCTCTTCATTTGAATATCATGAATATCAGTAATAAGTACCGCTTTTCATTCCGGATAAAAGCCCCGTCTTGTCCTGCAAATCTGACAAAGTCGGTATTTTCCCGTCGTGATGCCTCGTCCCTGGCGTTGGAGGTCCTTCTCATAATATCCTGGTGATACAGTGACGCTACCAGGTCGAACAGCCGTCTCCCAGACCAATAATTGTAATGTGTAGTTGGCTGTCGTGTGACCGGGCTGAACAGAACATCCGATTCCGAATCCGGGAATTCTTATTGTCCCTCTTTGCTGTTGGTAGTGCTGACTACTGTAAGTAGTGAGGTGATGTGGGCGGATGACTTCGCGTGCCACATACAACTTCTTTCGGGTTTCCCCGCGCTTCCTCTCCATATTCTCGTTACGCAATGTCAATAACATATATTTTTGAGCCGTCCTCCAGGCATTCGGTGCGGACGCAGTCTGCTTCTGAGACCAGAATTGCAGGGTTGCCGAAAGCTTGCTGAACGAATGGAAGCTGATACCCGAGTGAGAAGAATGATCCAATTCGCCGGTACTGCCCTTTCTCTTTTCCCGTGGCTTTCAGAATCAGACCAGTAACTTGCGAGCCGAGTCGGCCTGGAAGACCCAAGAGGTATAGCAAACCATCGCCCACTTCTGTGCCCCCTGCTACGTCGAGTCTGGCGTTGAGTCTGACAGGAAGTTCGGACGTCTTAGGCAGTTCTATTATCTCGTGAGGTTTTGAGAAAGGCAGCGAGACTGTTGCTTTTGTGATGGATTGACATTTGAGGCGGAGATTAGCGCCTGTGACTTGGCCGAAAGAGTCGTTGGTACCGTATTCGACGTCGACAGCTCTCACTTCGACATGGAGATGCTTATCGTGATCCAAGGAAGGGAAGTCGATTGTGCCGTTGATCGATGCCCATGACCACTGAATAATGGAAGAGTGAGTCTATTGTAAGATTGCTCAAGATAATCAAAGCAGCTAGGATTTTACCTACAGTTGGTGCGACATATGGCGTGATCCGTTGTCCTTTACCAGCTTCAACGTCCCAGCGGAGCTGAGATAAAAGTTTCTCCTTCCACATACCAACGATGTACTCATCCTTCCGAGCATGTTGTACAAGTCGAGCTAGACCAGAAATGGCTGCAAGTTTGTCTCTCGGAAGAGTTAAGTTGCATGCTGAATAATTGTTGACCAAGGTTGACCATCCTACATCGGAGCTGATATGCTGGATTCCCAGCCGGCTCACAGCATCTTCAAAGCGTGACGGGATCCGATCCGGGAAGGTCTCACAACAGAAACTGCCCTCACACTCCCAGAACACTTGGTTCTGCGTAAAATGCAAAGTTCGCTTTGACAAAAGACGTTCTTGAAGCACCCATGCTCTCTTGAACAGTGGCTGCGCCAGGAGATATTCTTCGAAATCGTCAGGAATACATTGATAATACACCGTTCGAGGTGATGAGGAGCCATTGTAATAATCATTTTGGATTTGTTGGCCCCAGAAAAGATGACGATCGAAAAAACATCCGTAGCTACCATCAGGTGCGCTTGAAGCAGCAATGTTGATCGTTGAGCCACCGTAGACGTCACTCATAAGCGGCGACTCTCGATTCCAGTCGTCAACATCGTCCTGGATGATGCACAAGGAGTCAATCCAGAGGTATTGTAGTCCAATATAGGAAGTGATGCGTATTGCATCTTGAAAGGTTTTGGTGAGAGCTTGAACCGGCACCTCCTTCTGAAACTCGTTGATATTGTTCTTGTTCAGTGTGAGAAAGGACAGTGAACCCCAGCAATGACTCAGAGTAGCGTACTCCGGGCAAATATCGAGTCCCTTTGAGAGACATAGCCTCGTTTTTCCATCACCAAGGAACAACAGTCGAGTGGGCGTTCGATGGCTTTGAGAGCTTACACATCCTTCATGAAGCATCTGGCACCGATCGAGCCACGTTTTGCATATTGGTAAGCTGGATTCCGTGCTGGCAATTTCCAAACGTGGGTAAGTGCAGGTCGACGCTGTATACTGTAAGTCATTTGATTTGGAATGGTTGACGAGACTTACGAGGGAGAAAAGTGGGGAGCATGCTGATGATAGCATGCTTCCCAGGTCGAAGGATGCTCAAGATGAGACGACTATCACCAAAGTATTCGCCATCAGTCGGCCTCGCACCGCGCGTTGTTTCCAAGATGGCCGTTCCAACTTCCAAGCCTATGGCATCGTCCCATTCATCTCCATCTTTCTCACTGCGTGTGAGATGGATGCATAAACTACATCCTGAAGTAGCCGAAGCGGCTAGAGCATGGCTGGTAGGGTAGTGTTCGAATCTCAATTTCTTGAGATAGCCACCGCCTTCTGGACAATGGTCTATAATATCTTGACAGAAGTGGCAAAGGTTGGGAGGTCTTCTCTCCTCATCGTATGTGTTATCTCTGACGGGTGGTTTTGACATGTCTTGGACAAGCTTGGTTTGGGTGGATTGTCCGGAAACGTAGCCTGTCGTCAAGGTCCTGGAACTACATAGCAAAAATCAAAGGAGAGCTCGGTGGCAAAATAGAGTCACTTTAGAGGCAAGTGTAAAATCAATTGAGATACTTGGAAGAGCAATACCCATGAAACCAAAAACAAGATGTCCTTTGTAGGTTGACGACTATTTGACTGTTCGCTTAGAATGCGCGACCCAGACGCTGACCCCTCTCCTTACCGCCCGCTATTCTGCCCCTCGCTTAGCAGCACAACCGCCAAAACTCTGAAAAATGTCCGCAAAACAAAAATATCTCTCTTCATAGCAAAAGCAAAAGTGAAAGAAGCTCTCCGTGAAGAGAACCTCGGGAATTGAGCCCGAGGTGGGGCTCGAACCCACGACCTTGAGGTGTTCTAGTGATGTATTCATAAGAGCCACACGCTCTACCGATTGAGCTACCCGGGCAGGGTAGTTTTTTTGATGCGTAAAAAGTTCTTATTTAAATACTTAAAAGCGATAAAATTCAGGAGACTTGTGTGTCTGGAGTTGCCCCTGGCGAGCGGGGTCTATCTTGGTTGTGTGTGGACCAGAGGACGGGACAGTGGGGGAGTTGTACGGGCCGCTACTCAACCAGCTAGTATCATCTACCGGGCATTTATTTTCCTCTGACGGCTACTGCCGTAGAGGCCAAATAGGTAGACCGTGGATATAGTTGGCTGCAACTGCATTGAAGATCACTTCTAATACTAAGTGATAGCTTCGCCGGCAAAGAATGCTCTTGATATTTGTGACATTGCTTTGCATCCAATTTGCTGGAGTTCGAAGTTGCTCAGTCGTCATCGAAATCCACATTCAACGACGCGATTTAAAAGTCTCGCTCATTTAACCAATCGAAGTAATTGCAAACGTTCTTGTTCAAAGATCTCCTGTTGATCATGTATTCAATCAGTTGCATCATAGATATGATGATATGTACAATCCACAACTCATTACGCCATGCAATGCCATGCAATCAAAATGCTAATGCTCGCTTCATAACATCAAATCAAAAATCCCCATCCCAATAGGTCCCCAGTACCTGTATTTCTTGTTCCTCAAACGCCAAACAAATGCACCATCCCGAACCACACTCCAAATCCTGGGCAACTCAAATAGCCCATCTAGAAAATGCCGCTCTAAATCTCAAATAGTAAAGAGAACGAAATATCTGTCTGTACATGATTCTAATCGTCTATCATTCACATGGCGGCGTAGAAAATGCCTGCTCCAAGAGCGGCCATGGCACCAATATTCATGGGCGCTGCTGTTCGTTGAGCCCATGCCTTTGAGGTTGCTGTTCCTCCGAGGCCAACCGAGGCCGTCCCTCCGGCCATCACGCCTGTGTCCACGCCAACCTTTGCATCGACTGGATCTGATACATCTGTGGCGCCTGGAACGGAGGCTGTCCCTGTTGTTATTTCAAGGACGTTTGATGTCGTTGAGTTGAAGTTGGTTTGAGCTATCGAGATCTCGTTGTTGGCGAGGTCATAGACTAGGTAGGCGGATCTGATGAAGGTATCGCCCATGACTGAGGTGCTGGATCCTGCTGGGGCGATGCCGAACAGACATGCTGGGGTTCCGTCAGAGAAAGTGAGTTGTCGGCCACTGGCTGAAGTGACGACGATGACGAGCTCGTTCATAGGAACTGATATCATGGGGCCGGAGAAAGTGAAGTTGAGGGTGGTGGTATTGTCGGCAAGTGAACAGGGAACGTAAGCTGCTCCCTGGGAAGAGTCGTATTGAGCATCAACTTGCTCGTAGATTGCCTCGGTCATGGCATCTGGCAGGTATGTGAGGGAGCTACCCGAGTCCAGGAGAACAGCCTGTGCTTGATTCTTCGCGATTACAATGTTGCCAAAGCTCACAGCCGTGAGTGTGATAAGGAACTCGGCGAAATATCCTCCTTCGGCCTGAACTGGAAGGGTTTCCAGAGTACCCAAGTATTTCCCTGTGTCGACGCCACCGAACAGAATGTTGCCAGTGTTCGCGTCCAGGTCGTTCAACCACAGACTATACGCATTCGACTGAATGAGTCCATCCTCGACCATCTGTGACGGCAGATTCCGGTAGGGTTCCTTTCCGACTCTTCCAACCTGCACCTCATTGACCTCGTAACCAATTCCTAGAATTCCTTCACTCGACGAACTTTCGTAGCCGACACCGAACTGAAGCTTGTTCAGGCTTGCTGATCCAATCGAAAATGTGTCCGTCACATAGTCCCCCGCCGCCCCCGACCCATCAACGTAAGAAATATTAAAGTCGCTCGCAACGTAGGCGTATGTCGAGGACGAATTGGCCGAATAGGTCCCTGCAAATGCACATGGGCTTCCTTTTGTTTTACACCACGTCGAGGATGCTGTGTTCACCCATAGGTCGCTACTACCGGTGTCGAGATGTAACCGGAAACTTTGTGCTGGTGTCCCCAAGGTTGCATTCGCGAAGTACAACGTTTCCTTGAAAGGTCAGCACACCCTTTGAACCCTCAGTTCTCCAACTGACCTCATTATCCAGAGTAGCTTGAATGGTCTCGGCTCTCCTCCGTAATCTATCTCTCTTTACAGGATTCTGTATCGTATTTCTCTCGATCTGAAACCCGACAACTCTTGCTGGTCCGTCGGTCCTCTTCTGTAACTGAATTGCTCCAGTACATGATGATAATAAAGTCGCCGAGATGGCCAAAGTCGTGAAACCCTTCATGATTATCTATATCAAACAGCAGTCCTAGAAGAGGTAGCCCTTCCTCCTGGAAATGGGCGTTCCTGGACTATATTGGGTCCCAAGATCTAGATGACGCGGTCAAGGGTGCACTAAAAGATCTAGTCTCGACTGTGGAAGCCGAATGTTGGAATGACTTTCGATGGCAAACGGCAGCTAATTGACAAGCAAAATAATAAGTTCGTTGTGGCGGTGGATATCGTTGCAATGCGTAACGAATGACTTGACTGACAGACGTAAAGACTGACGACACAGACGAAGTCGTTCGGAGACTTTCTGTGTGGAGGAACAACCGGTTAATCCGAAAATACAGCTAGTGTGCAGGATTTCATGAGAGAAATATTAATCGCGCGAGCTGACGTTGCCTTGGTGGACGGTTCCTGATCGACTTTGCTGTAGAGCTGGTCTGGGTGGAGGGGTGAGTTGTGGTTGGGAAACAGCAGAAAAGAGTCCAGGTGAGAAGTAGCGAGATCGCCTCATACAATACAAAAGGGCTTGGAAAATTAGAAATGCCAAGTAAACCCCAAGATCTGGGACCGAAAGGTTACTCGACGATGAAATAGTTCCAAGCGTTTTCCCAGGTGCACTGCGACATAGAGCTGGGTAGAGGGCTTTGTATTGTCTGGGCGGAGACCAGGGCTTTGTGGACCCGCAAGTGACGCGGCCGAAGACGATCGCTGGAGAGGAAGAGGGAACGCGACAAAAGCCACGCTCACGGGGAGCACAGCGTACGTATCGCGAGGGACAAAAGGAACGACAGCAGTGGGCCTAGCCACGCATCGTCCATCTTCCCTGCTGCAGGCACTGCTGTGCTTCGCTGAGCCCAGGAGTCAGGACTCCATGAGCCTTGGAGTTGGAGTCAACGCTGCCCGAGTGGTGCTATTTCCAGCTGCTTAAGCTAACCTTTCTTTGGTGCTTGCGAAAGGATGATCAGACACAGGAAACGCGGAGCAGCACGGGAACTGCGTCAACTGGGCTGAAAGGACCCCAAGCGAGAGATGCGAAACGCGGCTGCAAGCCCACCCCAGTCAATATTCATCGGCACCGAGCAGTGAGCACAGGCAGGCAGTCGATGAGACGTGAAAGAGGGCGATGAGTGCCTGGGCGAAACGGGGCTTTCAAGTGAAGTCGCAGTTGTGCCTGTCTCTCATTCGCCCTCTGGACGTTTCGTGCCGGCTGGGCGCTGAGGGGTTACTGTATCTGGTGAAGTCTGAAGGAGAAAGAAAAGGCAGAGCAAACGACTTGGATAGGGCGAGAGCAAAGCGGTTGGTTCGGATACCTTTCTCCAAGACTTCACCAAGGCGACTTACTGCTCGGCACTGCTCACGAACGGCCTTGATGGTCATGTGTAACCGTGATATCCGAAGAAGAAGATGAGAGATGCAAAGACGTGGCCCGACCAGGTAGAGATTACTGGCACGAAGATGCTGGTCGAGAATCAAGAGCACCAAGATGATGTTTTGTTCGGGATCTGTTTGGTGAAATCTACGAATGCGAGGAAGGAGTTGCAATTAAGTGGCTGAAGCGTTTGAAGCTAAACCGCATCAATCCGTTCCCGGATCTCGAATCTGCAGTGCACATCACATCCCGTCGTCACGTCCATCCCTACCTATACTGTACTGTACCTTTACCTATCCTATCTCCTATTCCCTTGCACCTGCCAGTGCCCGGCCAAGACTTTTGCTGGTCTGGGCTTCAGCACTAGGATATCAAAATACTCCTGGCGAGGACTCTCGTGGCTGTGGAATATCAAACATGTCACCTCTTGTTGTGTTCCTAACTCTTCTCCCTTGCATATGCTGATGGTCTTGTACGTTTCAAACACAAAAGCCACTTGAAATATTTCCCCCATTCGATTCTATTCTCCGAATGGCCTCAGCAGCACCTCCTTCGACAGCACCAGACAGCTCTGAAGATTTTGCGTGTGACCGACCAGACCCCACCACTAGATCACTGCCGCATCCGAGTGCCAATGCCTCTGCCATAGTGATCTTGGGGTTCTTGGAGTGAGGAGATTTTTGTCGCGAAGAGTGTGAGATGTCAGCGGGCTGTCTGATGAAGGGCTGTTGTCATTGAGCCGATTGCCATCTGATGTTGAGAAATCAGAGTTCAACGGATATCAGCCTGAGATTCCGTTGGTTTGTTCGTCTCCAGTTGAAGACTTGCCAGTCAGGGTATTCCCAGGATCTTCGAGTGATATGCATTGCCAAGCTTTGCACTGGCCGTTTCAGAATGGGCAGGCATTCCCCTTCTCCATGTGATCTTTAGATTCACGTTTACTCTGTTTCTTACCTCCGCTACGTTTGATCCCGGGCGTGTTGCCTGTCTTGATATTTCTATGCCTTAGTGACACCAAATCAGTGGCGCAAATCCGTTCATGTAACACGAAGATTGTGTAGCAATTGTCAGCTTGTATTGGCTGTCTCGTCTACTCATATTGAGGCTCAAGTCGGTAACTCAATTGGAGTATATCTCCTGTTTTTAACGAGGCTCGCTTCTTTCTCATGCCTAGCTGGCATGTCTCCTACCGCCTCATGCAATTGATTGCCATCTTTCTCCAACCTGGCTAGAACCACATCCCCATCCTTCTCATGAAGACCACCGGTCTGCATTTCCGTCGTCCGGTATGTTCGACGCCACCAACTATGTGAAGGTGCCCGTTTCGGTGATGTATCATCATCTTTTCGTTGATATTTTCGAAGAAAGAGTGC